CCCGAAGAGCTCCCGGAAGTAGCGGAAGGCCACGGGCGCGTAGGTCTTGAAGCGGAAATCGTTGTAGTGGTGGGCGGGGGTGAGGTTGCTGCCCTCGCTGTGGGGACACGGCACGGTGGGACTGGGATTGACTGGGAGTGACTGGGATTGACTGGGATTGACTGGGATTGACTGGGATTGACTGGGATATTCCACAGGGAACCTGGGCTGGGACAGCCCCAGGAGAGGAGGGAATGGGGAAAGGGGAGGAAAAGGAGAGGAAAAGGGAGAAAAACGGGGGAAAAACGGGGGAAAAACGGGGGAAGAAGGAGGAAGAAGGGGCAAAGGGATGTGAACCTGGGGAAGAAGATGCTCTCGACGACGTAGAAGTCCTGCATGAGCACGTCCCGCTCGGGCTTGGTGCTGAGGCTGCCCACGGTGTGAGTGATGCCCAGCTGGATGGCGCCCTTCAGCGCCGACGACGTGGTCTGGGGAAAAAAAATGGGATTGGGAATGGGGGAAATGGGATTGGGAATGGGGAAAATGGGATTGGGAATGGGGGAAATGGGATTGGGAATGGGGGAAATGGGATTGGGAATGGGGAAACGGGATTGGGAATGGGGAAACGGGATTGGGAATGGGGAAACGGGATTGGGAATGAGGATTATACACGGGAAAATGGGGATTGGGAATGGGGGAAATGGGATGGGGAATGGGGAAAATGGGATGGGGAATGGGGGAAATGGGATTGGGAATGGGGATTGTACATGGGAAAATGGGGGTGGGAATAGGAATTCCTGGTAGGAAACAGGAATTCCAGTGGGAATGGGAATTATGGATAAGAATTGGGGTGGGAATGGGAATTCCAGATGGGAATTGGGAATGGCTGGGATTTGATGGGAATGGTAAATGGGAGTTCAATGGGAATCCAATGGGAATGGGAATTCAATGGAAGGATTCCAATGGGAATGGGAGGAATTCTAGGGAAAACCCCAAAAAACTCCACATTTACAAAACTCCCAAACAATTCACTCCCTGCCCAGCCAATTCCAGCCACTCCATGGGATTTATGGGAATTTTTGTGCCTTTGGGAAGCTCCCAAAAAACCTGGGAAATCAGAGATTAAAAATCTTCTTCCCAAATGTTCTGGAAAAGCAGCCAAAAAAAAAAAAAAAAAAAAACAAAAAAAAACCAACACTCTAAAATTCCTTCATTTCCATGGAATCTCCTCCCATTCCCACAGCGATCCCAGGCAGAATTCCTGGGGGAAAGGAGGGGAAAAAGCGGGAATTTACCTTTTTGTAGGTGGTTTCCCCCGTGGAATCCACTCCTCTGTGGCCCTTCCGGATGGTTTGGGATCCTCCTGGCATCTTGGGAAAGGGAAAAACAATGAAAATTCAGTCTTTTCCAGGATTTTTTCTCACCCAAAATATTGGAAAAGGAACAGGAAAAGGTGGAAAAGGTGAAGAAAAGGCTGGAATTTGGGATTTTTCCAGCCTGGAACTCACCTCAGGAGTCAGGGATTTTTTGAAGGTGTTGGATCCTGCCAAGAGAAAGGAAAATCCACGCTCAGGGAGGGATCAATCCCAGAAAAGCAAGGAAAAAATCCCAGAAAAACCCCAGAAAAACAAAGAAAAACCCCAAAACACAAAAATGGAATTTATTCCAACTCCCCACGCTCTTCTCCTTGAGTTTCTGGCTCCAAATTCCCAAAAAAAGCGTGGATGAAGAGCCAGAAAATCAGAGGCCAGACCTTGAATCCTTCCAGGGAAAAGTGAAGAGCAGGGAGCTCCTTCCCAAAGGGAATTTTTATGGACCTGCACCCACGATTCAAGGTGGAAAAACTGATTTGGAGCTGGAAAGAAAGCTGGATAAAAGGGCTGGATTCTCCCAGAAATTCCGCCAGGCTGGGGGAAAACGGGGAAAAGGAAAAATTCCAGGTTGGAAAAGCCAAAAAATCCCTTGGTTCATCCCTAAAAGCCGGCGAATTCCCGGTTTTCCGAGCGCTGGCTGCTCTTCCAGCCCCTTCCCTGGCTCACATTCCCGCTTATCCCAACACATTCCACGCTTTTGTCGCCGTCCCCGCAGCCATTTCTTTGGGGGGATTTTATCTTTATTTTTTTCCCCGGGATTTGGGGATTTTTTCCCCCGGGATTTTGGGATCCCCGCGAGCTGCTCCCACCTCTCCTCCCCCGTGAGTCACCGGACAGGAACTGGGATCGGATTTCCCTGGCACCAACAAACTTCTCCTTCCCCGCCCCGTTCCCTTTTTATTTATTTATTTTTTTTTTTTTAATTTTTGGGGAGAGGGGGGAAATTTTGAGGCTCTCAAATCCCTCCCCCTGTTCCCTTTCCCCCGAAAAGGGAAGTTTGGAATTCTGTTTTTCCAGGGAAAAGCCGAGTCCAGACCCTTCCCCCATGGAATCTTAAACACCCCCAGGAAGATCCAAATCCTCCCCAAAATTCCCTCAGAAA